ATGCTCCCCATGTTCTCGATCCGCCGGAAAAATCCCGCTCGCAGGCAGCCAGAACCGGCACCAGCTTCGATCTGCGGCGAGACACTACCGGCACCTCTAACACCCGCTCGAGAAACTCGAGTCTCTGGCGCACTCCCTCCTCCTCCCATGAGTCCCGATCGTCGTCCGTCATGACCCCGCTGGCCTCCCAGCGATTGCCGATGGAAGCCTCCCCCGAAGGCCAGCACCGCTTTCGCCCGTCGCATCTCCGCAGTCCCTGGCCGATCTCCGTGCTAGCCGCGCTCACCACGCTCGTCGCCTCGATATTCTTATTCTTCATCTGCCGGTCCTTCACCGTGCGGCAAGTCGGCGGCGATGGATGTGGCATTCCCGTCATGAGCCCCACGTTCATTCGCATGGTCGGATTCGACACGGAACACACTCGTTTTGCCAGCAAATACAATCTGTTTCTTTATCGGGAAGAGGGGGTGGATCCGTACAACCAGGAGAATCTCGGGGTGAGTTCTTGGCGCAGATTTGGTCCCAGAGTCCTTCATTGTTCTCCATCGAGTACTGATGTTTAATCGTGGTTTCAGCTAAACGGTGCACCGGTGCTCTTCTTGCCTGGAAACGCCGGTAGTTACCGACAAGTTAGATCCCTGGCTGCCGAGGCGTCGCGCCACTACGCCGATGTCGTCCGTCATGACCAAGAGCGCCTCAAGACGGGCACACGGAGTCTAGATTTTTTCATGATTGATTTCAACGAGGACATGGCCGCCTTCCATGGTCAAACGCTGCTAGACCAGGCGGAATACGTCAATGAGGCTATCTCATATATTCTGTCGCTCTACCACGATCCTCGACGATCGCGGAGAGACCCCGGCCTGCCAGATCCCAGCTCTGTCATCCTGATCGGACACTCTATGGGGGGCATTGTGTCTCGCACCGCGTTGACCATGGCCAACTATCAGACGAACTCCGTAAACACCATCATCACCATGTCAGCCCCGCACGCAAAGCCTCCGGTCTCGTTTGAATCAGACATTGTTCACACGTACAAACAGATCAACGATTACTGGCGCGAGGCTTACTCGCAGACATGGGCCAATAACAATCCGCTGTGGCATCTGACACTGATCTCCATTGCCGGTGGTTCGCGCGATACAGTGGTTCCGTCCGATTATGCCAGTATATCGTCGCTCGTTCCGGAAACGCACGGTTTCACTGTTTTTACCTCCACCATCCCAGATGTGTGGATAGGGATGGATCATCTGTCCATTACATGGTGTGATCAATTCCGTAAAGCGATCATCAAATCTCTATTTGACGTGGTAGATGTCCGCCGGGCTAGCCAGACGAAGCCAAGAGCTGAGCGCATGCGGATCTTCAAGAAATGGTATTTAACCGGTCTGGAAAGTGTGGCAGAGCGCACGCTGCCCCAACAAGGTACCAACAGGATTGCGCTTTTCGTTAAATGTGTTACTGACAGCTTGAGCAGAGCCCAGCACGCTCTTGACATTAGAAGACAGCACCAACACCATCCTCCCGCAAGGTCAACGACTGGTTCTCCGAGAATTCGGTCATGAGACGGGTCCGAATGTGCACCTGCTGCCGGTCCCTCCGCAAGGAGTATCAGGGAAAAAGTTTACGCTCCTTACGAACCAGCACTTCGACAAAACGGGCGAACACGGGACCCTGGAGGTTCTGTTCTGCAGCGTTTTCCCCATGCACAATGGCAAACTTGCGGGCGTATTCTCAATGAACGTGAACTTCTCCGGCGGCAGTGCCGGCTCAACTCGCCTTGCCTGCAAGAATGCCGCCGATGATGGGATTCATTTGCCGGCGTCGACGCATTCTTCCCGACATGCTTATGACAGGGTTACGCCTTTCTCGTACCTACAGTATGACCTGGAGGACCTGGTAGAGCACCAGTTCGTGGCGGTCGTTGACAAGGCTCGTTCTCCGGCTCGCGGCTGGGTCGTCGCTGAGTTCTCCGACAGTTCGGACTCAGTGATCAGAGCCCATGTGGGCCTGGGAGGACTGCTTAGTGCCGGTGTCAAAATGCGACTGCCTGCGAACCGTCCTATGCTCACGGAGGTCAAGATCCCCGCCTTGCATTCAAGCCTGTTGAATTACAAGCTCAAGATCGTGCGACGCGGCCCGCGGCATCAGCAGGAGCTCTTCGCGCCGTTGTTGCGCCAGTCGATTCCGGACCCGCACGAGTCGAAATTCTTCGTCAATGTCCAGCATGTTCATGTCAACTTACACGGTGTTGCGCCCTTTATGCCTCCCCCGCTTCGCGAACAGGCCGCACTGGGTGGGGTATCTTTCCAGCTGTGGACGGACCCAACTTGCGAGTCGTCGGTCGATATTTCTTTGGCAGTGGATATTCTAGGCAGCTTGGGTGAGCTCGTAATGCGGTACCGGACTGTCTTCGCAGCTTTTCCGGTTCTTGTCATCGCCCTTGTTCTTCGCAAACAATTCCAGGTGTACAACGAAACCGGCTATTTCATCACTTTTCTCGAGGGTCTTGACAGCACCATACGATCATCCCTGCCCATCCTGCTGCTAGCTATGTCACTGCTGGCGTCCTCCCTGGCTACATCTAGCACCCTGCCGCCGCGCGACGAAATGTTCCACTGGCACACGAACGCCACCGAGACTCCAGTTGACTATACGAAGAATGACCTGCTATTGGGCTCTCAGGACGCCTTCTTCTGGTTTCTGGTACCAATCTTCGGCATGATTAGTGTGGGTGTTTGTGTTCTCATCAACTACGTCGCATTGTCTCTACTTTCGGTCTTTGCCTTCATATATGGACTCTTGAACAGCCGGTCCGGTTACATCAAGCGAGATGACAAGGGGTAAGTCTTGGGTTATTCTCTATCCAGATGTCCACTAACCGAGGCAGAAATCTTTCCATTTTCTCTGCTCCCACGCCGAGACGGAGACTGATCAACACGGCTATCCTGCTCATCCTTGTCTCAACGGTCGTTCCTTACCAGTTTGCATACATGGTGGCTTGCATTGTGCAGCTAGCTACTTGTGTGCGCGCCCAATGGCACGCCAAAGAGACCGTAGGCCACTCCAGCCCTATTTTTGAATTGTTGCTGATCTCTTTCTAGAACTCCACGACTCATTATAACTTTGCAAACTATACCTACTCGATCTTTTTGCTGATGCTCTGGATCCTTCCGATCAACATTCTTGTTCTGCTTGTCTGGGCGCACAACCTTGTGGTTCACTGGTTCATGCCCTTTTCTTCCCATCATAATGTGCTGTCCATCATGCCTTTTATCCTGCTTGTCGAGGCTATGACGACAGGAACCATGATCCCCAGAGTCACCACACGGTAAGACCTATTGCCGCTCCGTTTACGGGAAACCCGACTGATGAATGCAGGTTAAAAAACATCACATCTGTTCTCCTCTTCGCAATCGCGGTGTACTCGGCGGTGTACGGCGTGTCCTACGCCTACCTCCTCCACCATCTTACTAATATACTGGCTGGCTGGCTGGTCGTGATCTACCTGTTTGGCAGCGGCTTCTCGATTCGCCGATTGTGGCGGCTTGTGGACGGAGATGAAGGGACGCCCGCCTCCGCGGAAGCCGGCAGTCACATGAAGAAAAAGCCATAATGGGATTTCTCCGTAGATTTTGTTTTTTATTCCCTGTTGCATCTTGCCAGTTACCCTCCCGGGGGCCATGATTATAAGGAGTTTGATTGTTGTCTGCTTTGGAGCGGTGTTGGGTGCTTTCGTGTCTGTCCGAATGACGGACGTCCAACATGTACCGGATTTGTTTCCCCATGGATCTGTTGACACAATGAGTCGTCTGTATATACGGTGGGGACTGGGATATAGACTCTAAGAGATAATACTATGTACGCAGATTTTGAGGTGTTATGGTTGTATCAAGATGAGTTGGTGCGAAGACACCCTAGCGGACCACGTCGTTGTGGCATGACAATATGGAGCAGGTTGCCGCGGAACCGCTCTGTGGTATGGACCTCGTCCTTTCGATCCGATCGACGGAGATGTCACTGCAGAGAATCGGTATGGCTTCGCACCTGGTCGCTAGATCGAAAGACTCGAAGAGCTACACAGCTCTCCAGTGTCACCTTGGAACCTCCAGGACCTCCAGGACCTGCCAATTCCAGACTCTTCACTCTCTCTTTCTCCGAAATTCAACCGCCAAGGCCTATGTACGACTGAACCAGTCGACATCATGCGGTGCGAGCGCCGCCTCCAAACCTTGGTATACAGTAGTCGTCAAAACAAATCTGCCAAGAGATTAGATCGCCCGCCGCATCAGCATCAGTCACACAGCAGCAGCAGCAGCAGCAGCAGCAGCATCAGCACAGCCATAACAAATCCAACCCACCCCAAAACAACGCAATCTCGATCATCGTAATTACTAAACCATCAAATCCCACGACATCGACAGTACCTCGAAACGAACCAACCCTTATGGCAGCCGAAGCTCGACGCACCTCGGAGAAGATTCCTCTCGTTCTCGGCATAGCCCAGCGGCATCGGAGTTAAATTTTCTTGAGTTTTCTGCATTCTCGGAATGAAATCCCACCCACCCCCCTCCTTCGGACTGAAAATTCAACCCAGGAAGAAAAGGGAAGCTTAACGCGGGACTTCACGTCATTTTTTTTTCTTTTCTTGGGGCAATTTGAACATAATTGCAGATGGTGGAGTGAATGTGGATGTGAATGTGATCGAGTCATAGTTCGTCGAACAAAGCCCCCACGCACATGCTTACCGCCATACAATTGTGAAATCATCTAGACTTACTAGGTACCTAAGACCTTGAGTCATCAACAGACAACGGGTGGATCGTTGCACGCATGTGGACGGCGGTCCCCACTCAACCTTAACAGAGGTTATTATTCATAGTCTAGCAGTTGCTCACTTGGGTCGCTGGGCGGTGGGCAGTGGGCAGGGAATAAGGAGGGATTCCGAATTGGGATCCCGATCTGTGGTGGGGGGGGGGAACCTTGGCGGATCTGGTCACTTACGGAGTAGGCATGTCGATCATATACTTATGGCCCCGGGAAGACTGTAGCTGGGAGGGAGTTACACTACATGGCGTGCGGTTCCTCTGATTTGAGGGCTGTACTGTCCTGTACCCTGACCACATGAAGATGGTGCTCTGTGTACAGAATAAAGTTCTATATTGAGTGAGGTTGTCAATTGTCTTCTCTTGCTGGGAGAGGTAGCTATTCCCTAGATCAACAACACAGTTATAGGCATAGGCATAGGCATAGGCATAGCCATAGCCATAGCCATAGCCATAGCCAATAAACCTATCTCCTGTAGGTATGCATCTACGCATAGCCAGCCATCCGCATCCGCATCAGCATCAGCACAGCATCAGGCAGACAAAGCCGTCTAGGCTCCCAAGCAGCATCCGACCACCACACGGGACACGAGCGAATCCGTAGTCATCCACGGTTCTCGCATATCCACTGACTCAATCCCCTTGCGACTCCGATCCCGGCCCCATCATCCCGATGTAGATAGGACTCCCCTCTCCAGACATCGTCGTCATAGTCTAGTACTGTACAGCCCCGATTCCCAATTTAAGGTGTAGTGTACTGTAGTGCACCGGGACTAGACTTCCAGTGCCTCGTGTCTCGTGTCCGTCCAGGTTTGCTCCTTCCGCGCCCTTCGCGCCTTGGCCTTGAGATGTATGCACTGGATGCAAACGGTGCAAGTTAGAGGTGGGCCTGGGCAGATCTGAAGGAAGAGGTTTGTAAGCATAAACTTTTGTATCTGGATAGATCTGTCTTGTGGTGCATACTTCACTTATACCAATACCTTCCACAGATTCTGGAATTGTATATACACTGCAGTAGATACATAAGCAACCTTCTGCAAGACCATTAATAATCTCAATCCTGGCCCACTGACCTCCCCCCAAACTCTCCTTCCTACGAAGTAAACACTGTATCCAAGGGCGTAGCATGACACATCCACCCACATGCCCAAACCCAACCCTTCAAAGCAAAGCTCGCTCTTCTGAAAAAGAAATCTACAGAATGAAAAAATAATCTCCAAAGCTAAACCAATTTGACACTCCGACACTCCCCAAATCCCACTTCTCGAATTCCTATTCGCGGCTGGCACCCGGAAGCCGGGGCTGGGCTGGGCTCAGCTTTCTTGGCAACTTGCCTAAACTGCAGTGCTGCAAGCCGTGCAGTGCAGTAGGGTGCTCGGGTTTATTCCGGCGCTCGGAGTAGATTCTTGGTTTTTCGGATTAGGCGTTGTATGACAGGTTACTGGGTATACTCCGTTTTTGAATTTTGGGGGGTGATTCATCGAGTCGGTATCAGGGATTGGATTTGACATTGGGGTTGGGGACCGTGGGGGTACTGGACATGCATACTGTGCAGAGGTTGACGTCTGTACAGTATATAAGGAATGTGATGGCCCTTGTTGTCGGTGTTGTCTGTCTAGTATCTGCATCTACATCTACAATACATTCAATTATATCAGGGATATATTCTACTCCTTCTTCATCATCCATATATACGCGATTGAAACTACACTTACCACCACTATTGGTATCCTTCTATTCTTCTATCCTTCTATTCGAGATAGAATACTATACCTATACACAACTATACAACAACAACAACAACAACAACAACCAAACACAACCCTTCGCCTCCAATCAAACAACCAAACAACCACAACCACAACTACAACCACAATGCCCTCAAACCCAACCATCGCCCCCTCCCTCAAATCCACCCCCTCAACCCTCTTCCACCCCGACAACGACGACGCAGCCTCCACATCCAGCGTCTCCTCCACCGCCTCGACCCTCCGCTCCCTGAAGACCAAATACCTGGCCAAGGTCAAGTCCGCAACACCGGAATCCGAGTCCAAAGAGAAAAGCACTGCGGCCAAGAAGAAGACGACGACGACGACGGGCAAGGGCAAGCACACGCCGACGCACACGAAAGCCACCAGCAGCAGCAGCAGCAGTCCCAAGAAGGTCGATTATGAGACCTTGGGGACGTATCTGGCTCTACGATGATTACCTTATTTCTTGGGAGGGTTGGGGGGAGAGGCATATGGATAATAGGTTGGCATCAGGAGGAGGAGGTAATGAGGGAGGACTTTGGGGGAGAACAGAACAAAACAAAAACCCGTTATTCGGGACCTTATGTGATATGATGATTGGTATATATCGGTTGTGACCTTTTTTGGGGGCGTGACTCTCGTTTCTTTTCTGTTTCCTGTTTTTGGCATTCTGGAATATGGTTGACTAGCTGATTGACCTACGGGTTGGTTATGGTGTTTGCAAGAATCGCAACTAGATATTCGATTAATGATGAATTCACAGACAATCTTTTCGGTCCATAATCTTGTCTTTCAGGAGCAGTGATGCCATGCTAGGCTAAAATTCTGACCCTTTCCCCCATTTCCGACTGTTCGTGTCTCATCTAAATCTGGAAGATAAGATCTGAAAAAGATATTACCGTACTTCATCTGCCCCGCGCCTTGAGCCTCGGCCCCATCACTAATTCTCTCCTTGACCTGACATCTCTTTCAGGCTGTCAATGGGCGAGATCAGCCTTTCCCAAACGCTGTGTTGAACAGTTTCAACACAGAGACGAATGTCATGGGCATTCCTTCTTCAGGATGAGAATAGCATAATCAGTCTGTCACCGACAGACTGGCTCGGATTGGCTGTCATGACCATGGCATCTTGCTTTCTTGCTGCTGCCTGCTGCTGCTGCCTGCTGCCAACAGCTGGAAAGGGATTACGTCTCGGGTAACAAACCCCACGCAGATACCTGCGAGTTCTTCACTTGCGAAACACCGTAGTGCTACCAAACCCCAAGCCCTTTACCAGTTCACATCGCTGAGCTGAAGCTTCCGGGACCGGAACGCCATCCGGTTACTGCCCGACTTGTCGACTCGGGTATCGCGATGGGGAGAGCGTTTCTCGGCAGTGGAGTCTAGAGAAAAATTAGCTTCACGCAACCTCCACATAAATAAAAACATACCTTCGGAGTTGGCATCCACCTCGTTGGTCATCTCGTAGTTCAGCACCAAACTCTTGATCCGCTGTTGCTCCTCCCGGTCCGCCTGCTGCTGGCTTCTCATCGCGACCGCGAAGCTGGAATCGGACGGTAGATCAATGGTGCGAGTCTGTACCGTTAGCATGGTTCTCCATCCCCTAACAAAGAAAAAGAGAAAAAAAAAAAAAACCTACCTGCTGCTTGTTGCCCTTCTTCGTCATCAGCGAGAAAGCCATCGTGTTGGTGGTGGGCTTGGGAGGCTCCGCGACGTTCACGTTCTCCGCCGCAGCCTCGCGACCGGACCGCTTCATGGGCAAAGGGATGTCGAATACGCCCTTGCGCTCGAACTTCCTCGACTCCATGCTCTCAGACATCATCTTTTCAAACTCGCGGTCGAAGTCGGCTTCGGCCTCCGGGTCACGTTCCTCTTCCTGCCGCGTGACGAAGATCTGCTCGTCCTCCGACTCGCTCTCACCGGTGTTGTCGGCGTTGGGACCAGACGCCTAAACTTGTTAGCAAACGATTTCACCACCTTTGGGAATGAACCGACCTCAGCTTCATCGCTGGACTCCTGGTCATCTTCCGCCTCAGGTATGGCATCCTCTTCCAGATCATCGTCCGAAGAACTGCTCTCAGCATCCTCTTCCTCAACATCCACAGGGCGTTCGGAATCCTGCATCTTGTAGTTCTGCGCGACCGCCTCGCCGAAGACTTGCGTAGCTTCGGCAAGGTCCGCCGCCAGTTTCCACTGCGGACGAGCCATCGAGTAGGTATCCTGAACGAGGAACTCAACGTCCATCGGCATCGGGTCTTTGGTGTGCATATAGTACTGCTCGAGTTAGTGTCCAGCTCGGATCAACACTTATTACCAGCGTACCTGGAAGAAGTTAAGGAAGAAATCGAGCTTCTTCTTCGCAGACCCGCGGTCAAAGCAGTGGCCGCACGTGTCGAGCAGCGTGCAGACCAGACGAATGCGGAAGAAGTCATCAGGCAAGTCCAGCGGGCTGACCTTCCCAGCCACTGGCGTTCCTCCTTCTATGGACACGTTAGTGATTCTGCTTTTGATTGACCATGAATACAACTCACCGTGACCGAAGGTGACAATGCGGTACAAGGTATCGAAGATGACGGGCGAGTCGATCATCTTGTAATTGTAGAGTTCTCCCAGATACTTGACCTCCGCAACACGCTTCTGATTGAACTTGAAGTCATTCTGCTCGAGACCCAGAGTTATCTGCTCGAGGACATTGTCCACGATCCCAATCACGAACTCCTGGTGATACCGATAGAGAGCGCTGACCAGGATCGCGAGCAAGTGGATGTTTCCATACTTGACCTTAACCGGTTTGCTGAAGACCTTCTCCAGGATATCGACAACTTCGCCCTCTTCCCAGTGGAGCTTGCGAATTGATTTCAGAATCTTGGTGTAGTTCCGCTTATTCATGTCCAGATATACAATCCGGCGGATGTAGGCTTCCATAGGCGTACGTTCCTTCTGCTGGATGGCAGGCCGGGGTGGCGGATCAACGTAGTAGATGGCATTCTCGATGATCATCCGCTCCTGTTGACCGAGATGTTGAACAGTCTTCTTTCGTCCCAGGGTCTCCAGGAAAGAAGCCATCCGCGGAGCTGTCTCCGGGTTGCGGAGTAAGTAACGACCGCAGTTCTCCAGGAGATAACCGATGATCTCGATGTTCATGCGCGAGAAGTCATCCAGCGAGACCTTGAAGCAATGGAAGATGATATGCTCAGGGACCACGCCGAACTTAGTCAACTCCGCCAGATACCGGACATTGCCCATGCGAACCTGCCCTAAGAACTCCTTCGACTTCCGGCGTTGGAGGCTTCTGAACTCCTCATCAAGGTACGTAGTCAAGCCCTGGGGAATGTCAGGCATATATTGCCCGAGCGTAGCGACCAGGCGAGAGTACAGCGGCAGAAGATCGAGACGTCCCTTGGGGACATCAGAAACCGCCTTGATGAGCCTGTTGCGCGACGCTTTCGAGTTAAGGAAGCAGAAATCCAAGGCCATCTGATCGACGTGGTCCTTGGTCTGTAGGTCGGGTAATTTGGCGAGGAGTGCGTCCACCTGGGCTCCCACAGTCTTGCTTGCAATGGCTGTAGATAGATCGTCGGCATCCGCGTTCTTCTCCTCCGATACTTGAGTCTGAGCGGCGGACTCGGATTTCTCTGCGCCTGCCTCTTCGCCATCCCCTTTCTTCTTGGCTGGCTCCTCGGGATCGGGTTTCTTCTTCCTGGCATCCTCCAGTAGGACAGCTGGCACTTTGCCCTTGAGGTCAACCAGATTCTCGTAAAAGCGCCGCTCTTCTTCATCTTCCCAGATGCCGGCACCCTCACCCTGACCGCGCAGGTACTCCGTCGTCTTAACCAGCCCGATTCCTCCAGCCGATGCCGCATCGGGGTTTTCCTTCTCAGCTAGAGCCGGCATTTCCGCCCCGAGCGCCTCGCAAAGGACTTGGGTGTTGGCAACTAGTTTCTCCAGCGACTTGGTCTGCTTCTCGAAGTTGGCCTGACGGTCCTCGAAGATCTCGCCACTTTTCACGTACGCCTCGGCATTGCGCCGGCTCTGAGCCGTCAATGCCCTCTGATCACGGACAACATGCGCCTTGACGTCCTCCAGGTACCGGTTCAGGATATGGCGGAAACGCAGCTGGAGTTTCTCAGGGATCAGCGGGGGTTCGTTCTCTTCCGCCTCGCACTCAGCACTACTGCTATTGACTGCATCTCCCGAGGCGCCATTCGTGGTGGTCGTCGCGCCGTCCGCCTCGACCGTCTTCCGGCCTTCCTCCACCAACTTGGTCCCCAGCACATCCCAACTGAAGCTCTTCACAAACAGGACCGCCAAGGGGAGATTCAAGTGATCGCGATCGTGGCCCAGAAGATCCTTGAGCACTTCCATGGGAAACGGCTCCGACTCCTTCTCACCGCCGCCGTCCCTGGTCGCCGAGAGCAGCGCCTTGTTGCTCTTCACGGGCCCGTCGGTCGCCTTCCCGACCACGCCGGCATCTTTCCCCTTGGCCGCCGCGGCCCCGAGGTCATCCGGGCGGTCGATGTCGTCCAGGGTGCGCAGCACGCCCACCAGCCAGAGCTCCGTGACGACGCGCAGCAGCACCCGGTGGCGCGACAGGCGCTCCTTCTCCTCGCGCTCGCGCACCTCCTGGCTCAGGGCCTTGAGCTGCCCTTTGTCCGGGGTGCTCAGCCCGCGGCCCAGCAGCCATCCGAGCTGGCGTGTGAACTCGCCGGGGCCGAACCGCTGGTGCAGGGCGCTGGCGATCTCGACCCCCGTGGCGATCTCGCCGGGCGACTTGAGCTTGCAGAGTCCTTCATAGCAGGCCGAGATGATCTCCGACAGGTACTTGTGGAGCGACAAGGTGCGGATGTCGGCGAGAAAGGTGGCTTGGGCGGAGGCGTTGATCCCCGTGCGGAGGCGCTTGATGAAGGCGGTGTTTTTCTTGAGGGCGGAATCGAGGGATTTGCTGACGGGGAAGGCATCTGTTGTGTTGCGGCGATGGGATTAGTTATAGACATTAACCTCCGGGCAGCTGGCCAAGTGTGTGGTGTGTGTTTTTGTGTTTGGGTAGGGAGAAAGTGAAAAGAAGCCGGAAGGAGGACGTGGTGCGTCATTATCGGAAAGGGAAAAGGGCATAAGTTTACCAGTCTCGCCAGCCCAGGCTCGCTCGTTGAGATCGCGGAGTTCCCCTGTATGTAGAAGAGGTGGGGTTAGTCAGTCGTGTCTTGGGGGAGAAAAGCTGTTCTGGTGAGGTTTACGCTTTCGGTGACGATCCATGGCGTGGCCGCCGGTGCAATGTTCTCGGTTTATGGTGGGTGGGATGGATTTCAACTATCCAGAATTCCTTTCAGCGAGTGGGAAAGGAGGGCGCATAAGTGACCTGAACGCCACATTGGGGAGAATGAGAGGGAGAAAGTGACGCGCGCACTATTTTGGGGCGTCAACGTCAGGGAGAGGTGAAAGATTGCAAAGTTGAGAGTGGCTGACGAAAGTTGCAGTGAGTGACGGACCGAAGGCGGAGGAGGAGAAGGAGGGCGGAGGGGGAAGAAGGAAAAGCGGCTTGGATGATCGTCTTTCGCTTTTCTCCACTCATGGCGATAACCAAAGCGGACTATACAACAGCCAATTTCTACTACTCTCTTTGCGCATAACTTTGTTGCTGTTTTTCTTCACTATCATTATTGAAGTCAGAAGATCTGTGACAATAATTATACTCCTATGAATTAAAGTTAACCGGCCCCCGCCAGCGACATCATCTGGCAATCGTGCCCCGTATTTTTCCCCGCATCAGCAGTCAGTTCAGCACAGATTCATGGAAGCAATTAACCAGTATACAGCAGTTATAGCAGACGCAGTAGACTTTTGCCTAAACTAGCCGCTGCAATCTCCTTCCTCCATACATCTGCATTGTGTGAACTAATCATAAAGCACATTCATCCGCATAAACCGATTCACTCACCAATCCCATGCTCAACCATCATCATCATCATCAGAAACATCATGATAATCATAAGGAAAAATCACCAAAACCACCCGCTATCATAATCATCGGTCGCCCATACCCTTCACCACCCAATCCAACCTCCACGAACCCGATTAGTGAACCCCCGCCGGCGCCTCCGAGAATCCGGGCCTGTCTCCCTCCTCATCCTCCAAATCCAACAACCGAGTCTGCAGCTCATGCTTCTGGTCCTCGTTGCTCCAGCTCTGCTGACGAACCACAGGCGGTTTCCAGGGCTTTTCTGTCCTTGTGCTAGCGGGACCGGCGGCTGCACCCAGATCAGCCCCGGAAGAGGAGGCGATACCGGAGCGGTCTGCTGAATTGTCTGTTGGGAGCTGGAAGACGTCTGAGTCGGGACGGTTGGTTCGGGATTTGTTGATGGACATTTTATGATGGTCTTTCCCTTGTGTAGTTGTTCGGTGGGGATGCGGTAGGGAGATGTAAAGGGAGGTAGGTAATTGTAGAGGTGGAACTCTGTGGTCGGATTTTTGTTCGATAGGTGTGTTGGAAGTGAGCCAAGTGTAGTTGGGAGGACTGGGGCGAGATTGAATGAATTTAAGAGGAGAGGAGAGAGAGAGGGTTGCGTTTCAATGCAATGATAGCACCACCCTTCGGAATGACGTCTCCTGCGTGGCGGTGGCTTTGCTTCTTTTGTGAGACGATAAGAGACAAGGCGATGGCAAGAACTTCGGCGATCAGAAGAAAAGTTCTGGGATCGTTGAGAAGGGAAGCAGAGCAGAAAGAAGAGGGGGGAAGGAACTGGCCACCGCTGTTGGGGAGGAAATCAACGTCACTTCCCGGTCTAGAATGTCTAGAATGAGGGGAAGCAAGTAGTACAGAATGAGGAGGTCCAGGGAGGTACGAGAAGCTACTTTATGGTCCACCTGATTCCCTCTACTAGAGCTTGTACTGTACATACTCGCTCTCCACTGTTCGTATCGCCACATTATGCAATTAATTCATTCCTTCATTCAATCCTCACGCAGACCTTCGAAAAGTGCCTCTGCTCATCCATATACCGATAAGCCTCCTCGACCTCCTCAAACTCAAATACCCTCTCATCGATCGCCGGCTGGATCCGATGTTCCTCGATGAACCAATTCATCTCCTCAAACTGCTGTCTCGTGCCTAGCAGAACTCCTCTGACCGTACACAAGTTCACAAGACAGTCGATCAGAGTATTGACATTCGAGTCTGGAGCACCTCCCAGCAGACCCGTCATGGCAATCACCCCCTCCGGCCGCACGGCCTTCAGCGACTGGCTCGCAGTCGACAACCCACCAACGTCGACCACGAGATGCACACCCTTCCCGTCTGGCGTCAACTGTCGCGCAGACTCTCCCCACTTGGGATTGCGCCGGTAGTTGAGCACATGGTGCGCGCCGAGAGCTTGGAGGCGCTGTGCTTTGGTGTCGGAGCTGGTCGTGGCGATCACGGTGGCACCTGCTGCCACTGCGAACTATATAGCATTCAGTTCAATTCATCGAGCCGCCCAGAGAACAGGAAAGCAATGAGCAGGCTAAACGCCAGGGAGAAGACAGTACCTGCAGAGCAATAACTGATACCCCACCTGTCCCCTGTACCAACACAACATCCCCCTTCTTCGATGCGCGCGACGACAGCCCGAACAACGCATTCCAGGCCGTCAACGCCGCGCACGTCAACGTACTTGCTTCCACAAACGACAGACTGGACGGCATTTTCACCAGCGCGGTCTGATGGAACACGGCGTACGGACGCAGCGTCCCGTCTATCCTCTGGCCCAGTCCACTGCCGATGTCCGCGAAGGTGACCGGCTCGGATTTAGGCTTGTGCGGCACCATGTATGTGCAGACTCGGTCCCCGGGTTGGAAGGCCTGCACCTGAGGCCCGACACTTTCGACGATGCCGGCACCGTCAGATGCAGCTACCACATTGGGGTTGATAACGAGGGAATGGGAGCCCTGAGCGGTGGACAGGAATTCAGCTATTAATTGTCCGATGGCGGAGGGGAAGAATAGACTATAAGAGATGAAGGACAGTGCATATCTTGGCGATGGCTAAGTCTCGGTGATTAAGCGATGCTGCATGGATGCGCACCAAGACGTCATGGTCGCCCAAGGAAGGGACGGATTTATCATCAATGAGTCTGAGACTTGAGAGACCTTGCTGGCCTCCAAGGATCCAGGCCCGGGAGACGTGCATTCTGGCTTTCGAGTAGTTTCAGGAATGTGACTCGGGAATCAGTACGCCTTCAGATGGGACTCGAGAGATACGACGACTCTCATAAACGGGGGAAAGACCCGCATAAAACATCTTTGCAGCCATTGGAATTGAGGGAACCAAATCAAGAGAACCCTGGATTCAAATGGAAGCTGGCGGGCGGGCTGCACATTTTCGAGTCTGCCATTGCCATGATGTGGGGACCTTGAATCATGCTGATGTGCCGGCAAGGCAACACCAAAATGGCAGCACGACTCAATGGATTCCATGTGCCGAAGTCTAGAGCCAGAATTGACCAATCCGAGGGCGAGCAGTGGGGAGTGACCGTTGACCCGGGCGGAAGTTCGGATGCATTCCAGTTTGTTGGGCGGCTTGCAGCAATTTGACCCACAACAGGTCTTTCTTCATCTCCTCAACCCCCAAGTCTACGTGAGTGAGGGCGGAATCAAGGTGGACGACTAGAAGAGCAGCAAGCTCGAGCTCGAGCTGAGGGTCTTCATCCACCGCAATCGCGGTGACCAGCGCCGTCCAACTACGCCAAGTTGATGTCGTCACCCGCAAACCAAACGAGAGATAGTCAGGCCACGCTGGAGGCTTGAAGCGAAGTCCTCTTTGCAGCGATCACTAACTTGTCGATGAAAATCAGTGACACCTGCCAGTCCACGGAACTGGGCTGGAGGGTGATCGGTATCGACATGTACGGCAACGCCTTGAGCGACCCGCTGGGCTGTTCCTGACCGGTGAGCCATCCCACCGACGAGACGGCCTGTGTCAGCCTGGTCATCGACGAGGAACTGAACTTTGTCGTCACGAGCGGCTTCATTCCTGGCTGGGTTCATCCGACAACGGAATGTTTCTGCCTTTATTCCGGATAGGATGACTGCGGCGCAGGAGGCTCGGGATGTATGGTACGAGGAAATGGTAGCCAATGCTACTCTGCCTGCGCTGGCGCCTATGGAAGCTACGTGAAATACTTCTGAGGTGCTCCGGTTCTAGGGCGATCAACTCCAGGCCATGCAGATTAATGTTTCTATGAAATTAGTACAATGGCTTGACGCTTACGGCTCCCTATGCTTCCCCAGCGAGTGGTCGAAAGACGACCGACGCGCAGTATCAAGATGCCTGGACGCATTAGAACCCAACGGACTGCGCATACCCTTTGATAGATCCAATGCAGAAGTCTGGCAATAAATACGACAACGAGCATATCCTGGAGCTTCAGGTGGTTCCCATGTCCTTCCAGTATCTGACTGCTCAAAAATTAGCCTCGGATCAGCAGGCCACTCTCGACTTGGTTGATTGCTCGTTCTGTCTTGATACAGCCCGGGGGGTGATAAGAGGCTGCATGAGGATCTTCTACTTAAGACGTTCTTGTACATCGGTGACGCATACGACCTGGATCTCGCCAAAAGCCCCAATTTCGAAACATGTCAGCCCTCGGTAGCAGCAGGGATAAGGGAACCCTTCTACCTTTTGCAACGAGAGTTCAATGGGATGAAATCAAGGGTCTTCCGAAACATCGCCTTGGTGGACGAGACAAACTGGCCAACATTTGTGGCTGACACTACAATAAAGGATCGCAATGAAAGAACTCTAGGCAGCTATTGCGGTCTGGAATTATCTCAATGACCCTGAAGTGGAGGAGTCGTCTGTGGATTATGCCAACAATTTTGAGCAGTTTTCGAGCGTAGGGATGAAAGATTGGACAACGTCCATGGTGAAACAACAGCGTTTGCAGGCGCCGGGAAGCAATGGAGGAATGGCTATCTCGACTATCAGGTGGAGCGCAGTTGAGCTCCATGGTTCCGCCCCACGCCTCCGGCCAATAGTAGAGAGCGTTCTTAAACCCCCGTCTTCGTGATTCTCCTGCTTCAGTCCGTTCCGTCTTCTGGTCCCCAAATCAACAACAAGATGACGGTGACCATCGATAGCCTTCCTGCAGAGCTCCGAAGACAGATCTCCCTCTTGGTAAGCCGATCATGAAGACAGACGAGATTCCCGAATAAACACTGACAAGACCTGATAGGTCCTGGATTCTTCCTGGCATGATCTGTCCGCTCTTAGTCAAACTAGCCGGGCCTGGCACAACGTCGCGGCTCCTCAGCTATATCAGGACCTACGCATCAAGTTCCATGATCTGGCAAGCTTGCAACATGATGTCTCCGCGTTCCATACCGATGGTCTTGGGCGGCAATACCTGCCCTATGCCCGCAATCTCGATCTTGTTTGTCTAGCGAAACCATCGTGGATAGATACTCCAAAAGCCGAAGATCTCTGGAAGCAGAAGAACTGGTACAACGAATTTGTCAGCTTCAAGCCGCGAGCTGCGGAAGACGGCTTCTTACACGAGAGCCTCACGAATGATTGCTGTGACAAAGATCACCTATTTCTCCGCGATAAAGTGGGCGAGTACCCGCAAAATGAGTGGGAGCCTATCTTTGCTCTGATTGCGCGGCTTCAGCATCTTTACGTATGCAACTATGTGGTGATCAACACGTTTCCTGCTCCTCTCCTCGATATACTTCAACAGTCTCACCCTCTGTGCCGCCTGAACATCTGGACCTCCCAATGCCTTTCTATCGACATCGACGGGCTGGGACGTTGCTGCAAGCTGGTAAGGAAGGAGGCGAGAAGGCCATTTGAACTCCGAATCCTCCGAGCGCCGAGTCTCCATACCCTGAATGTAGTCTACACGATGGGGTTGCATCCGCGAGAATGGCGATGGATACACCTCGACGAGCCCATGCCACTCATCTTCACTGCCCCCAATCTAAAGCATTTGATCATCGACGACAAACGCGAAGGTCGTGACAATCCAATCGAGATAGTGAAAGAGGAGTGGGAAGACTTCATCTCCTTCTACAGCAAGCTTGTCCCAGTTGCCCCGGCCACCTATTCCCTCGAGTCCCTGAGTTTCCGAAGTGACGGTGCCGGGTTGGCTCAGGAGCAGATCCTGCTGCGCATCTCCACCATGACTGACCTATCTCGACTACGGTCGCTGGAGATTGGGGTCTATTCGGAGCCAGAGCTGTTGGCGAAACTAGCTGCGCGATTGACCGGACTAGAACGGCTGTACATCAAGATGGTCCCGCGGTCCAATGGGGTCCGTCGTGGGGTCGCTCCAGACCGCGAAGAGATGATTGCCGCCGTGCGGGCTTTCCGTCCGTTGAAATACCTCCGCCTGATCAGCCTGCGGAGCTTCTCATCCCTCGATCGGATTGTCTCGCACCACGGCCGGGCACTGAAAGGGCTGAGCTTGGAGGCCTCGTACCGCCAACGACAGCAACCTGACGATGAGGGCCACAAGTACCCCGTCAATGACGGCGAGCAGCTCCGGTACCTGGCTCGACTCTGCCCCGAGCTGGAAGAACTCCATCTCCCGCTGCTGCGCACGGGTGGCGATGCCCGCGAGTGCGATTTATACCGGGCAATCGGCCAGTGGAGCCATCTCCGTCAGGTCGTTCTTGACTTGGACTGCGATCCGCGGGTTGCTGGGGTGGCCGATGAAAGAGACGTTCTGGGTGACCTCACGTGTCTTCGGGAGATCCTCCACAACGCTGCCATCGACGAGGCGCTTGCCGCAGGCATCTTCAAGCTCATGTGTTCCGGTCAGGCTAACGAATCGCTCAAGCAGGTCCGCGTCAATCTTTTGTCACTTGGGATTATTTTCCCCCAGTCACTGGTCAACGTTCTCCGGCAAATTAGTCAGTCATTCCTCGTCACCCGGCCTGGGTTACCGCCAACTGCGGAACTGCAAGTCCAGGCGGTTGGGACCGTCGCGTGGCAGCTGTGGCATGAATGGATCCTCGTTGACGACCCGTCCATGCGGACTCCGCCGCCGGTCCAACAGATACTGGAGGAGTGGTGGCCGCTTAACTCGGATCGAAATCGCAGTAAGAGCTGGGAGGAGATACCGCTGCTGGTTAAGAGCTTTCCTTTGGAGGCTGGTATTGAGCGCGACAGTGATGCGCGAGATAATAGAGGCAGCAGCATAGGAGACGCGAGCAGCTGAGTAGGAACTACCATCCGATCGTCATGTACAGTACCTACTCATCTTGTGACGGAGGCTTGGATGCCTGCCATTAATACAATATACCGCTAGACTCTGTATCTACTAGTTCAACTTAGTAGCCTCAATAGCACCATCATCAAGTCGAGCTATGAGCCTTTTTGCTCGGTGAACTGCCTTCCATTGGAACCACCCTCTCTTCATCAGTTCTTGATGTCTTTCACGGCTTTGTCTATTCAGAGATGGTATGATCCATTCTTCGTACGATGATCAATCCTTTTCGTCGGGGAGCGTAGTCCTCTCCTCACCAGCCCAGCTAACCACCATTGCATCCAACCAGTGCGGTCCACTCACCACCGGTCTATTCCCACGAATCGACCTTTTCATCGATTCAAGTTACTTTCTCTTGGTAAAGGAGATGAAATATGACGGATTGAGCTCAGATCTGCCGGCGCTCTCCATGCGCTTTTCTCAACTCCGACATTGCTCACTTTGTTGCATTGACTGCTCTAATGCTTTCCTTTCCTTTCCTTCTCTTTGCTATCTCTTCTCAGAATGGCGAAACAAGAGGAGCTCAGTTAAGAGCCCTCAAATGTAAGTCTCTTAGGTAAAGTCCCTTCTTGAAACCGGAAACGGGTATACTGTGGACTAGGGCTGTCGATGTCATTTACCTTCCACAACACAAGGCTGAAAGACAGTACTTGACTCCTCCTGCAGAACAAAAACCAGATTCTACCTGTTTCCTGTACCAACACTGCCCCTTCTTCGGTACGCGCACGACGACAGCCCGAACAGCCAAAGGGAGAGGGCGGATTTAACATCGATGAGTCTGAGACCTGAGAAGTTTTATCCCAACACCTCGGGCATCCAGTCCTGTCAGCGACCAACGTCTCTCTCCCGACGATCCAATCAACAACCAACACCCTCGACCCAAGACGAAAGAACTTCTACACCGGCGAGCGGTACTTGGACCTCAATGACCCAGTTCTCCGTGAGGTACTTGTGCTTAGAAGCAGACCCAGTCATAGACTACCAGATACGATCATCCTGCGTGTTGAGCATAGCGTCCGCGATCCACGCTCGTGTCCCCACAGGGCATGACACTACACTATCGAATCAGACAGACATGAAAATACTCCGCCCGTCAAGACACGGACACCCCACTCTCTAAAAGCAACAGACTCGCATGGATGGGATGGGGACACTGGCAAATAAAATCGTTCGCATACATCGCAGCAGGCGCAGTTGTGTAGGGGCAAAAACAAAAAAAAAGGGGGGGGTCCAACAAGGTTCGATTTCTCAAGATCGAACAGCTAAGTCTGTGGTTGTCGAGTCGAGCAATCCAGACTTGGTGGAATTGTATAGTAAATATCGAGTTTGTGGTGTACTGTACCCATTAGTCTGGGGCTGAGGAGGGCAGAACTGTGCCAGTTAGGTGCCTAAGAAAGTACCTATTCAGGAAGCCTGGTCTAATTCCAGCAACGCCTGTGCACCGTGGACATAAGAACATGTTACCATTCCAAGTAAAAGAAACAATTTAATGGGAAAAAATCCAAATCAAGCTCCATCCACCTTAATTAGAGAATTCCATTTTCTAGAACAAAGACCAGAAAATCAAGGTTGATGCACGTGCTATGATGTACCGTGCATGCCCTGCAGCGGCCTACTAAGTAGTATAAACCCCTCTCCAGCCAATCAAAGTGCAGCATATGTGTACAATCTCAAATGGTACGTTCCTATTGGTCGGATGACAACTATACCACACTTGATAAAAATTGAATACCCTAGGAAGAACAATTGAATCAATCTCAGAATCCACAATTGTACTTATTCTGCTCCTGTCAATAGACAATCACAAAGTGAATATATTATTGGAGCTAAATAATACTAAGTTGAAGTTAATTTGACTTACTTAACTACCTAGCAATCAGCCACAACAATTACAGTACAGAGATAATACTTCCTTTTGCTGCAGTCTCTATTCCACTCTTCCCCTTGTATTAGGCTATTAGGACCTCCAATGCACATGCTATACACGCCTACGTTCTACTGATGCCACCCCCACCCCCACTCTCCATCGAACAAGATACCAGCTGAGTGGTACTGGGTCGTCCTCTCCCTCCCTTCAGACCACACGTCTCCGAGTGCCATTGTCTGCTGTAGAACCTGCAAATCGAGAGCCCGAATGAACTACCTCGAGCCCCAGAGAGCTATCATACAAGGGACGAGGGCTTGGGCGTAATTTCTCTACTTTAATACCCCAAGACCCACCGGGCCTACACAACTTCCCATGGCAATACAAAACACACCAAGTCCTCATTATCAACTAAGCTTTTGTTCCATGAGAAACCTTTAATGTAACATACAAGTCATCAGAGGGGGGCATGGTGTTTGGATGCGAACAAGAAAGACAGAACCACACCAAAGAGACTGTTGCCAATATAATTGAAACGAATCCTGACGTCTCAAAAGTCATCCATCACAAGAACCACAGCCTATTCCTCAACGGTTGAGCGGGACCATCCACATCCACACACACACACACACATACACATCACCAAACGAAAGACAGAGGGAAAGAAAGAAAAAGAACAAAAACCGCCGTCATCATACACCTTCATCAAACATGAAATAAACAGGGTATGCCCACGCCAACGCTATGCGAGTCCTTGTACAGAAACAAAATAACAGGGGGAAGAGGGTGGGGGGAGGAAGGAAAAAGTCAAGCATAGCAAGATATGTACCAGGAAATCAAAGAAGGCAAGTATTCTTAGATGATATATGATTCTTTCTTATTTATTTTGGCTTGCGCCAGAAGTATTGCTGCAGAGGACCAGTCAGCTGGGATCGCTATCGATAATCGATTGCAAGGGTCATTCATACCTTGTGCTGCTTGCGGCAGTTTCGGAGGCCGGGTTTCCGGAGATCATGAACAACGGCCTCCCGTCGCATATCGTCCTCATCAAAGTCCGGGATATAGTAGTATTCACTCTCCAGAGCCTTCCCCGCGGCATCCTTTCCTTCACGGGCGACTTTGCCAATGCACTTCGTGGTATCCAGAATCGCACGGATCTCTTCTCTCGTGGGTCCCTGTCTCGAGTGACTGTCCCGTTTCCACAGAGCCGGCGGAAGGTTGTTGAGGATGGTGGAGAAGGGCGTCGAGGAGAGACGGGAGAAAGCCAGCTGGTTGACAGCGTGGTTCTGAACGCGTTCACCGCTTTCATCAAGCGGCTGTGGCTTGACCGGTGTGGCATCCTCCTGACTATCGCCATCGGCAGCGGACTCTACGGTCTTGGTTGTTTGTTTCGGGGATTTGGCGTGCTCAAGGCCCTGGGACGAGAGCTGATTGCGTGGACGAGCAGGCTGCAGTGGGGACTCGTCTGCTGTGAAAGAAGCCATCCGGGGCAGGAGGTTCTCGCCGAACGGCCCAAAAGAATGAATGATAGGGTCATTCTCCTCGTCGTGATCCGAAAAGTCGTCATGTCTACTCAGGTCGCTCAAATCACTCGACTGTGAGCTCTGCAGGAGGTCCTCCACACTGGAAGAAGTCGTCTGGGTATCATCGGCAAGCAACGACCCGGCAGATACGGGGCGACGAACAGGCGAGCCCTCGTCTTCGTACACGACCACAGCGTTCCGCGAGCGTGTCGGGGTATACAGAGGAGAGGATGGCGGCACCAGAGACTTTACAGCGGGCGAGGGGGAGACTGGGGATGCCAGGCGTTGGCGTTCGACCGCAGGGCTGTCATGGATACTCCGAATTGATTGTCCCTTGCGTTGTTTAGGCGTGGTTTCCTCTTCCCAGGTCTGCTCTGAATCTGTGGAGGTATAGTCCTTCTTATCATTCCGAGGCCACAGGACGAGCACGCGAGCCTCGTGGACGTCGATCATGATATCAGCGTCCTTGATATCCGAGGTGAATGTCTTGCCCTTGCCCAAGTCGTAGGTTTTCCCCTGGCAGTGTAGCTTGATTCCGTTCCAACCCAGGCACATAATCTCCACCGTATCACGGTCGAATGGGTTAGGGGCGGGCTTATATCGGGCTTTGACATGGACCCTTGAGATCATTCGGTTGGCCGCAAGTTGGTGATGACACGAGGCACTGGATCTCCCCATCAAGACCGGCTCACCACTCTCAGGCAGCATCAATTCGGGGACGGTAGACAGAGGGGTCCGTTCCGAGGTCGAAGTAAATGTACGTCGAGAGGCCGGACGCGGCAGAGCCATTCGGGGAGGGGAGGAGGACATGATATGGGTCGACGAGGTCGGGACCGGAGTGGGATAGGTGGAAACGATGCCATGGTCTTCGCGTGCTACACGCTTCTGTGGTCGGGGCAGGGACGGGGACGAGCTCAATGGCTCGAAAGCAGGCAATAGGGCCGCCGGACGCTTGATACCTGCCACAGGAGCAGCTGTACTGCTCCTTGGCGGCGAGGACTCCATGTTGGCAGACTTGTCCTTCGCGTCGTACACGTCTGGGACGAAGCTAAAGTAATTAAGATTATGGTCACTCGAGAAGCTGCAGAGGGATTGAGTCAAAGATCCCACAGATCAATTGGAGACCTATCTGATCGCGTCGAGGACAAGTAGGAGGAGGAGCAGAGGGGAGGGGGGGTCTCTATGTTCTATAGGAGTGGAAGATAGCGATTGGGAGGGAGGTGACGACTTGGTTTCGTGCAGACCAGACCAGAAGGAAAGTAGTTGACTAGACGCGGAGACAGAAGCGTGTCAAGGACGAGCAAAGGAAGGGAAGGAGCACTGAGGATTCATCTGCCCCAAGACGACAGGGTCCAGGGAGGTTGGGTCAGGCTTCGAGGAGGAGGAGGAGGGAGGAGGGGGGGGGGTTGAGCACAAAGCACAAAATGTTTCGACCGTAGGGGAAAAAACGAGAAACATTGAAGAAAAGGGTGAAAGGATGTGTGGTGTGTGGTGTGTGGTGGAATGTCTGCCCCGGAACGGAGCGTCTCGTCCTTCCAGCGCGGAAATGCACGCTTACAGTCCGAGACGCGTTCGATAGGCGCCGGGCGAGAGTCTTAGAGCTCCACCATCGAGCTTCGCGCAGCAGCAGCAGCAGCAGCCGCCTCGAACGAATTGCACTGACAGCGCATGGTTGGTATTTATAAATGGGGGAAGAACAGGGAGAAAAAGTGGCCAGGCCCAGAAATGACAATGGCCTGCATTTAGTTAGTCTGTCACTCTCTCTCTCTTTAGATTCAGAACACTCTGAGTATTGTTGTTGATTTGTTTCAAGGCAAGGGATGGGCCTGAGTTCGGAGCCTCGACACCCCAGGCAGTCAAGGCGCGTCGCTCACTCGAACCAGATAACGCGTGGCACGTGATGTTGTGTCACGTGAATGCGTGACGCCTTGCCTCGTCGGTGGCACGCTAGTCTGCCTCCGGACTAGTCATGCCAAGGCCCCGGGGCTGTCTGTCAAGTCACTGAATTATTGATGACCTCAACAGTCATTGAACACAAGCGCTGCACCCTTAAGTCCAAGCCGGAGCATACCTGACCCAATTCAACCTTGACGTCTTGCACAACTCCCTGAAATGTACTAAAACCTGCTTGCGCCTCCACTGATCACCCTCCAGCCTCCGGTCCCAGCTCTAGGCAAACCGAAGATGATGTGAGGCATGATGGTGCCTCCATCTCTTCACATTTCAATGACGAAAAGAACAAAATCACTGCCGACGTATCTTCGCCCCCAACCATGTGAACTTTTCCCAGCCCCCCTCTTCCCTCTGACCAACCATCATCCAACCTTTCACAAGCACCTGAAAAGGACATAGTCTCTCCTTCGCCTCTTAATTCCAGCCCGATGCTCAATGGCATTGAAGTACTGCACTCCGTCCACCCCAGCTCTGTATCCCGAGCTCACCACCCAGCCCGAGAGCAGATGCACATGCAAAGTACACTCACTCACCCACTCACTGTATGCGCCTACTAGCCCAGCATCACCTACTCAACACCTAGTAAACTCCCACTACTTCCAGAATTGGCCATCCAAACGATTGTTCTCTCTTTGGAGCGAATGCACAACTCGCCCCTTCAACCAGCAAATCCCACAAGAAAACACCCACCCACCCAACCGAATAAGACACAGCACAAAACATACAGAGAACAGACCCCGATAGAAGCACTCGTACGAATAGCCCACACCGACAGACCACACAGTGGCACACACCCAGCCTCCCCAAGATCGGGGAGGGGATCCACTCCTGCAATGCACATTCCAGAACATTTTAAGACTAGATCCAGTCGACCGTGCATGACACGGGTGGAGATGCCGCCTGGGGAATGTAAGTTAACGTACACATAGGTTAAGATGTTCATCTGTCCAATCTCCATCGGCTACTTGAAGACACCAGAAAAAAAAAACCTTCAGGCCTTTGTCAACCATTGATTGATTTTGTCTTCTTTTCATGGCGTCGGATTTATCTTTTGTTGAATCGGCCGAAGATCCACCGAGCAAGGTTTTTTTTAATAGAGTTTCGAATTTCTGGAACTTGGTGGTCGGCGTCAAGGTCCGTGGTGGGAGGTGAATGCTGCTGCTGCTGCTGGATGGGGGCGTAGAATGGAGTGGACACTGCAGCGATACATGCCGATACCCGGTCCCCCAGGCCGGGGAGATATTCCCATAGTCTTCAAGCAATCGGTAGGGGATGCAGTGAACAGTAGCCGAAGTGGCAAGGGTAGACCAGTCCCCTCGAGCCGTCTTGCTCACGGATAAATCTTGTTCAATGTTCAAGGGCAATTTCTAAAGGAAAAGAACGGGAATAACACTTGCATAGCTTTGAAAATCATCAAAGTGAATTAGTGGGTCATTTCGATCTGAACAACATGAAAAAGAAGTGGCACTACTGTACAGGATATCGCTAAATTACATCCCATTCTCCACAGAAAGATGAGAAGAAACTCCGCGGTGATCAAATGGGAAAATCAGTGTTACTTCAGTGTCGAGAAAAGTAAAAAAGCTAACCACAACCGCCCCCCAAGCAAAGGAAGGGTGGCGTTACAAATGTGACAGGTGTTGCAAGCTTTTCCATGTCACATAAGTATGAGATACTAAGATACACGAAGAAAGCAAGCACACTGAAAGGTGGATCATGATCAAGGGCGGAACAGAGGCATGAAAAAAAGGTCTTCTATTTGCAATTGTGCCTTTGTCGGGGTACGGAAAGGCCGTGGGAAGCCAGAGCCGGCACTTGACGACAGAGGCTCCCACGGAGAATTATCTACTTTAGTAGAAGACATAGGTGGCGGAGCCGGAGACGACCTCGACCTGCGGGTAAAATTAACAATCAGGCCAGGGACTTCCAAGAGGAAAGGAACCAAAGCAAGGGGTGGGGAACACTCACAGTGCAGCCGGAGTCGTTGGTGCCAGACTCGGAATAGAAAACACCATCCTCATACTTGCAAGAACCGCTCAGGTTGTCACCCTCGATCTTGACATTGTAGTCAAGCTTCTCGGTGGTGGTGGGGCTGTTCTGGAAGATGGACAGCCACTTGCCGTCGTTGACACCAACACCAAGGTTGATAGGGGCCCAGTTGCCGATGGCCTCAGAGCCGTTACCCCACTGGCAGCCCTTCTCGGTGGAAACACCCTTGGGGTTAACGTAGTACTGAGCAGAGGTAACCTTGCCCTCCCACTTGTAGTAGGTCTCGCCGTCCGGGCAAGTCAGGGGCTGGAGCGTGTTGTCGCCAAGGTGAAGAGGGATGGTCTCGGACTCGGTACCTATCAATTGTAAGCAGCTGTCCAGGTACTTTAGGCTGGTGCAAGACACTTACCAGGATAATCAGTACGGCAAACAGCAACACTCTCGCCGAGCGTGTTCTGGACGTGGACACCGCCAGTACCCTCAATGCAAAGCTTCTTGGACAAGGAAGTGTTGGTAAGGTAGAGCTTGCCGTTCTTGCACTGAATACCACCGACGGACTGTCCAGTAGATCCCTGGGTGCTGGGCCACTGGGACTTCTGATAACCCGCGGGACAGGCGTAAGAGCACATGGCGCCGTTGGTGCAGCTATCACCGGAAACACCAGTGGTGATCTCGGTCACGACGCTGCCGGAGATCGTCACGTACTGGATACCGGACCAGCCGCCAAGTCCGAGGTAATCGAGGGCGATAGCACCGTAGTCGGAGGGGAAGGTGTCGCAGTCCAATTCTCCATCAGGGAAGTCCGCATCCAAGCCGGTGGCAGTGGAAGAGCTAGAACTGCTGGCAGAGCTGGAAGAAGCGGAGCTGGAAGCAGCGGCGGTGGAAGAGTGAGCGCTGCTGCTGGAGCTCCAAGAGCTGCTGGAGGAAGTGGCCTTAGCGACAGCGACTTCAACGAACTCGGCAACGGAGCTGAGGGCAGGAGCCGCGGTGGTGGAAGTGGAAGTCGAGGCAGCGGTAGTCGAAGAGCTGCTAGCGCCGTTGCAAACATCAGGAATGTCCTGACCAGAGGCCCAGGTCAAGGTCTTGTCGGCGATACCCTTGCAGACTTCCTCGAGAGTGATAGTCTTGCCGTCGAGAACATAAGTGACCACAGTAGGACCAGCAACGGTGACAACCTCGGACTCAGGGTTGCGCTTATGATGGTGGCGGTGCTGGTGGTGGTGCTGAGCAGCCACCAAGGAGGCCGTGGCCAAGCTAACAGCAACGGCGTTCAACTTCATTGTTGTAGTTTTGTGTGTTGCACAAGTGCACAGCGGGGTATCGTGTTAGAAAATCGATAAACTCTGTATATACCAATAAAGAATATCACATTAGTATGTTCATCAAACGATTATCGATGGTCACCTTCAGCCAATTTCCTGGGCCAGGCATGGGGATCGCCTTGATCTCCGCCTTTCACCAGGCATATTAGGGATCATGAAGACCCGCGATGCGACTCATTAAGTGGAGTTCCATGCGGCTTCAGCCCACGTCGCGCGAGCACTCACTCATGAACATGCGGGTCATTGGGGAGGGAGTGAAGTATAACAATGAACAGTGGTAACCTACCGCAACGTCACGGCAAACCAGTCGCGCGCTCTTGACAGAAAGCAACAAATCTGTACACGAATCGAAGGTGCAGTGATTGAATATGAGAGGATCAAGGAGTGGAAAGTGAGAAGAAAAGGAGGTTCCCGAAAAGAGCGTGCGAGAGAGAAGCTAGTCCCTCTGGTCGGACAGGAAGTTCTCGCGTGGGTAACAGGCGAAAGCCGGAGGGGAAAATGAAACGCTCAGGGAAGGCGAAGAAATTGAGGAGGGTCGCGAAGAGGGAGGAAGAGGAGAGAAAAGGGAACCGGAAGGGGAGATGAAGGGCAGGTGAAAGTACGGTAGAGAGAGTAGGTAAGCGGTTAGATCGATCTAGTTGGACCAGGGGGTGAGAATGGAAAAAGGAAAGGAGGGGGACAACAAGACACTAAAGCGTGCGCGCAGGCCTTTTTTTTTCCTTCCAGGGGTTAAACTAAATG